GACCTCATGATTTGGCAGGTGGGACACGATGCCACCTGTCGTTGCACGTCGGTCAGCATTTCGGGCCAGTAGTAATACCGCTGCAGCTGCTGCCGTGTTTTCTCTACTCCGAAATGTCCTGAGGTAACCCCGTCATGTGCCTCCTGTAGCAACAGCTCCCGTAGTAAAGTGTAGCCCGGTACCCAGATGCGGACGGTGCCGGCTTTTACGTATTAAACCCCCTTTGCTGTTGCGAACTGCTGCGAGTTTCCTCCTGTGAAGAACGGGTCGGTTTGATAGCCGTGGGTAAATAGTCCTGTTAGTAGCGGGCTGGTCTGGGCGAGTAGTATGGCGTGAATTTGGGCAGTGGGGCGGGTCAGTGCGTCGGCAATGTTTGATGCCCCTTTTTTGTAGGTGACCGTATAGTGGAAATTTGACTCGAGGAAATCGAGCCAGCGGATCTGTCGTGGGTTGAGGTGGGGCTGTGCACGTAGATACTGTAGTGAATTGTGGTCTGTTCGTACTGTCACGTCTGCGCCGGTCACGTAACAGCGCCATACTTTGAATGCATGCACGATCGCGAGCATTTCGCGGTCGTGTATCGGGTAATTCTTCTCGGGCGGACGCAGTTTTCGTGACTCGTATGCGATGGGCTGTAAACCGTTGCCGAAATCCTTTAGCAGTACGGCTCCAATGGCGGTGTCGCTTGCGTCTGTAACTACTTTGAATGGGCGGTGTGGGTCGGCGATGCGCAGTACGGGCGGTGAACAGAGAACATTTTTCAGGGCAGAGAAGGCAGCATGCTCTTTCTCCCCCCACGTAAAAGCGACCCCCTTCCGCAGTAAATCCGTCAGCGGGGCAGTTAACCGTGCCATGTCGGGGACGAACCGACGCACATAATTACCGAACCCTAAAAAACTCTGCAGCTCCGTGATGTTCGTCTGGGGGTGCCACACTTTTACCGTGTCCAGCTTCTTCGGGTCGATCTCAACTCCAGCCTCCGAAATGACGTGCCCCAAAAATTCTAACCTATCCTGGAAGAACTCGCACTTGGAACCCTTGGTCAGTAGTCTGTGCTCGTCTAAAACTTTAAACACTGCTTCCAGATTTGCTAAGTGCTGCTGCTTATCACGACTGTATACTAGGATGTCGTCGAGGTAAACTATCACGCATTTATCTAAGAGCGGCCTAAACGCCTCGTTCATGGTCATCTGAAATGTCGCCGGTGCGTTGGTCAGCCCGAATGGCATCACGGTGTACTCGAATGATCTGTACCTAGTTCTAAATGCCGTTTTTACGCAGTCCGATGGTTCGACCCGAATCTGGTGGTAACCTCCGCTATATCAATTTTCGAAAAGGCCCGTGCTGTTCGCAGTTGATCTATCCGTTCGTCGGCGCGGGGAATGGGGTATCGCGACTTGACTGTTACCCTGTTCAGTGCTCTGTGGTCGATACACATGCGAAAACCTCAGTCTTTTTTCGGTGTGAACAGTATCGGTGCGGCGAACGGTGACGAGCTCGGTCGGATGATTTTTTTCTCTAACAGGTAATCTAACTGCTTCCTCAGTTCATCGAGCTCTGGCTGTGTCAGTCGGAATTGTCGCTGTATAGTTGGCTGTGCCCCCGGTTCTAACTCTATCCGGTGGTCATGTGCCCGCTGAGGTGGCAGTCCCTCTGGTAAGTCGTCCGGAAAAATCCCCGGGTACCGCTTCAACAGTTCCTGTAGTTCGGGCGGTACTGCTGCCAACTGTTTCTGGAAATCGCTCGGCTGCTCTGCTTCTCCTACCAATGCTATATCCACGGCGTACATGTCAGCTCCAGCGGCGACAGCCTATTTCATCGTGATGGCGTTGATGTGGACCGTTGAAGACTCGGCCGACTGCCAGTGAGGTAGCACGACCCAGTTACCGCTACTTCGCACAGTGCAGCTACCCGTCGTCCAGTCGATTCGCGGATTATACCGTCGCAGCCAGTCACGTCCTAGTAAAATATCGTGCCCATCCAGTGTCATCACGAGCATTTCCTGTGTAAACCCAAAGTTCCCCACGCAGCGGACTTTTACTCTTTCCACCTTCTCCCGTATGGCCAGCGGCGTGCCGTCGACTAAGCGTGCATCTATCTCCGGTAAACACCGACTAAGTGTCAGTTGCAGCTTCCGTGCGGTTGCGGTATTAACTAAGCTGTGACTTGCTCCTCCGTCTATAAAAATCTCCACTGCTGCTCCCTGTATTTTCCCGTGAATCAGTACTGGGCAATCCGTCAGTGTACCCTCCTTATTCATCCGAGCCCGATCGATAGCGTGAATCGGTACTGTGACTCGGTGAGGGTCGATGATGTTGGGCGAGCAGGTTGTCTCGTCAGTAGTCGGCCCATTTTCTACTGACTGCTGGCGTTTCCTTGCCTCTGAGACTCCCTTCCCTGCTCTGCTCCGCGGCGTCTCTGCTCCTCTGGGCATTCACTCTTGCAATGGCCCGGCCTATTGCAAGCAAAACAGCGCCCCTTAAATGGTGCAGCAGCTGCATTCGCCGCAACGGCGTGTACGGTGGCGTGCTCGGTCGGTCCCCGAGGACGATGTCCGTAGTAGGACCCCGGTCTCGGACGGCGCAAAATGTCAATTTTCTCGGCGAGCGCGAGGATCTCGTTGAAATTCGAGAGCCCGCGTAGCATGATTTCGTGCGAGATGTCCGGCTTCAGCCCTCCGACATAACGGTCCACCCGCTCCGCTTCGTGCATGTAGCCGACTTGCTCGCATAATGCGAGAAAACCGTTGGTGTAGTCTTGGACCGACACAAGTTGTCGCCAAGTACGCAGTTTCTGACGCGCCGAAATAGAAGCCGCAATCGGCTCGAAGCGTGCTCGAAGCCCCGCGCACCACGCATCCCACGTGCTGTACTGGGCGGTTTCGCAGAACGAACTCCAGGTGACGGCTGGACCCGTGGGCTCTTCCTCTTGCGACGGAGGCTCGTAGGCGCGTGGCGACGTCACAATGACTCGCCACCAGTCCATGGCGGGGCCCCTTAGCAGCGAAACAGCATATCGAATCTTCACTGCGTCCGACTCGACGTAATTCGCGTCGAAAAAAGCGTTCATTGTGAAGACCCACGATTGAACCGTCGGACCTCCTCGTTGGCTCGGGTCGAAGCAGGGCGGGCGCTGCGGTTTGAACGGCATTGGCGCGATAATGTCGTTGTTGCCGATTGTCGCCGCAAATTCAACGTGACGACGGGCTTCGCGAGGCCCGCTCGTGCTTGGTACAGCCCTGTTCCTCCCCATGCTAGGCATTGACTGGGCAGCACCATCACTGGCTGCGCCTGAGCGCTGTCCCACGCTGTCGTGATGTGACGGTGTGCCGGACGAGATGACAATCGGCTCATCCGATTGCACATGTGCATTTGCGGGTGCTTGTGATGGTGTTGGCGTATTCACCGTTGATTGCTGGCGGGCGGAGTCACGTTCCGCCGTAAGTGTCGCGATTTCGAGTGCCGAATCTTCGAGTTGGCGCACGAGACGGTCGAGCTGCTCCTGCGTCAGTGTCGCAAGATTGATTTCAGCCATGGCGGGGGTGTCGGGCAAACTCAGCGAGAGCCTCTGTCGTGGCCGTGCGTGCTTACGAGAGAGCACTTCGAGCGGCGGTGCTTGTTCGCTGAGAGACGTCTACCCCCCCCCCCCCCCCCCCCCCCCCAAAATTGAGATAGTGGGGAAGCGAGGGTGTGGGTGCGGTCCGAGAGGAGATCGTAGGCTCTGATACCAAGTGTTACGAGTGCAATTGAGCGAACGAGCGAGAATTGCACTATCGAAGCAAACAATACAGTTGAGCGAAATGCATGAGCGAAGTTATATAGCGAAGCTAGCATGGTAACGGTAATGCGGGAAATTGGGGTGCGCTACGGGCCTAGCGCCGAGGTTCGAGAAGTTGTCGAGGCGGAGGTCCGGAGCGCGGGTTACCAACCGAACCGTTAGGTTGGGTCGCGTCGTGAACAGTGGCGGGAGTCGTGGTCGAGGCGAATGTAGTGAGCGGGTAACGTTCACGGATGGGTGCAGATGGCGGGAACGGGCATGTACGCGGTAAGCAGGGACGCGAAGTAAGGAAAATGAATTTTCCTTACACATACCCAATTCTGTCTCTGTCGCTGGTAGCACCCCACGAACCAGCCTCGACAGGTCAGTCGAGTTCGCAATTTCGCTAACCTCCCCATCCTGCGCAAAAGTCGGTGTTGCGCAAGGAGGCCGGCATTCTGTAAACCTACCGTTCACCGCACTGCACCGCGACCTTCTTCGACTCACTAGCCTATTGCCTTTGTTGGGTACTAAAAATCCCTGCGAAATGCGGTCGTGCCTCCGCGTCGCCGCCATGGGCTGTGGAAGGGCGACTAGCTCGCTGGTTCTTACAAGTGTTCTTCCGTACCTAGCGGCGGTCGTCGTTGGTCTCCTGCCACGTGTCGTCCAGTCTCTGACCCTCGCTGACTCCCAAGGTGCAGCATGCTACTAGCAGCGCCGTAGCGACCTTTTTCGTCCTTTTTCATCAGTCGCATTCTTCTCGTCAGTCGCATTCTTCTCGCCAGTCGCATTCTTCTCGCCAGTCGCATTCTTCTCGCCAGTCGCATTCTTCTCGCCAGTCGCATTCTTCTCGTCAGTCGCATTCCTCATCTGTCGCATTCCTCATCAGTCGCATTCTTCTCACCCGCTAGCATAAATTTTCGCACGAGCAGGCCGTCATAGCAGCGCCTAGCGCGCCACGCTCGTACACTGTCTGGCCACCGAGCGCTGAGTAGAGTAGTACCTCGCTCCCGCGCGGCGCCGACTCGCCACGGAGCCGGCCCGCTTGTCATTCGTTCATATCGCCTTGCACTACGCAACTGTGCTCGAGTAGCATTCTGCGTCACGCGTCTCGCCCATGCAATCATCCACCCTGCCATCCTCCCTTACCCGTCTGTCGTCTCGCCCCCCCTCCCTCCCTCCCTCGCCTCTCATATCCCGCACTCCTGCTCTCTTCCGCGCATTTCCCCGCAATGGGCGCGCAGCGGCGGCGCTGAAGGAGTGCGAGGCGGAGTGGGGGATGCGCGCGACGGGGTGGGCGCGGGGCGCGGACTGCGCGCGGGTGAAGACGATCGCGTGCGACAGCGACGGCATGGTGACGTCATTGTGAGTGCACAGCACAGGGGGACGACAGTACGTGGAGGGGAGGCGCCGAGGGAGAGGGCGAGGGGGGCGCGGGGGGAAGGCGGGGGAAAGCCGGGGGACGATGAGGGAGCATAGCAGAGGCGCATTGGCAAAGGGGCGATGGCCATGAGAGCGAGAGCTGGGCGCAGCGCACCATTAGGTGCCTCCCAGTGCCGCCGCTGCTGCTGCTGCTGCTGCTGCTGCTCGCCTTTCTTGCTCCTCCTCCCGCCGCCTGCCCAGTTGCCTGGCCCTCCTTCACAGCCTTCCAACCATCACGCCCCTCTCCCCATGCCCTCTCCCCTCTCCTCAACACCCTCACCCCCTCCACTGCGCACCCCATAGGTTTCTGAACTATGCGAGCCTCTCGGGCTCCATTCCCGTCGCCCTCACCACGCTCTCCCGCCTGCACACGCTGTGAGTCGCACACACGCTGTGAGCCGCACACTCTGTGAGAGTCGCACACTCTGTGAGAGTCGCACACTCTGTGAGAGTCGCAGAGTTGAGTCGCCCAGGGGCCGGCCTGATGGCTTCCATTATCCATCTCATCCTCCCCCCCCCCCCCTCCTCCTGTGCTCCCAGGGATCTGCGCTCCAACAATCTGTCGGGGCCTGTCCCCCCCGCCCTCGCCTCCCTCCGCCTGCGCTCTCTGTGAGACCCAGTGAGGCGCACTGAGAGGTGGCACTGAGAGGTGGCACTGAGAGGTGGCACTGGGAGGTGGCAATGAGAGGTGGCACTGGGAGGTGGCACTGGGAGGTGGCACTGAGAGGTGGCACTGAGAGGTGGCACTGAGAGGTGGCACTGAGAGGTGGCACTGGGAGGTGGCAATGAGAGGTGGCACTGGGAGGTGGCACTGGGAGGTGGCACTGAGAGGTGGCACTGAGAGGTGGCACTGAGAGGTGGCAATGAGAGGTGGCACTGGGAGGTGGCACTGGGAGGTGGCACTGGGAGGTGGCACTGAGAGGTGGCACTGAGAGATGGCACTGAGAGGTGGCACTGAGAGGTGGCACTGGGAGGTGGCACTGAGAGGCCCACCTGAGTGGGGTACACTGTGCCCTGTGGAAGGCATGTGGTGCTTGTGTCACCATGAGGGCTGCTTGCTCAGGACGTTAGGGATTGGGGCTGTGACTGTGGCAGCACCGGTTGTGCCATGTGCCGTGTAACCCTCTCTGTGTGCGCGCTTGTGTTTGTCTTTGTGTTTGTGTGCATGCATGCATGTGTTCATGTGTGCATATATGCATGTGTGCATGTGTACATACGTGCATGA